GGGTTGTGGAAACTTTCACTGCTCAACCTTTGAATTAACATTTCTAGAGTATATACAATATACATACATAAGCAATGTGGAAACCTCCAATTTTGTGTCAGTGATTTTGGTATCAGCATCATAGCCATGGTTTTGATGTCATTCCAAGAAACTATTCTGGGAAGAGGTAACACAACGGGCAGCAAATTGAACCACTGCAACTCCTACTCAGTTTGTGTTGCCTCAGTGTGTGCAGGTCCCAGAGGCTATATTTATATCACCAAATCTCAGAAAGTTACTTGTATTTGTTTCTTGTTTATATGAGTCCAAATTTCTTTACTGATGGGCCCAATGAAACATCAAATCCTTCCTAGATCCTTCAAACCTTACCTTGAGAGATTTATATTACTGGACATCGTATCAACAGCTTCCTGACACCAAGACATTAAGACAGAAATTTGCAATCTCTTAATGCTATCCTTGAGGTTTAGTCACTTTAGGAACACTCAGAGGAGCAGGCTAAACATAACTATGAGCACATTTTTAACGGGTAGAACTATTTTCCAAATTTGTCTACCTAAAAAGAACCAGCATAAAAAGGGACACTTTCTAAAATTTCAGCTTTGATTAACAAACAAAACAGTAATTTAGCAGTCAGGCTGCTATGAACTAAACTGAGCTAAATCAGAAAGGCACTACTGGGTCTTAAAGTTATTATTGAATTCTCCACTTCTATGTACTATTTTCAGTATGATGAATACATTCTTAAACACATGTATGTGAGAATAAAAATGATGAAAGGCAATCTTTTTCTTTCTTTTAATCCACCAGATGTTATTACCATGAAAAGAAACACCAAGAACCAAGAGAAGTGCCTTGGAAACCAACAGGGAAATAGAACTTACTACCTTTATAACATACTCCATTGTGAACAAGAGATTTATTTTTGCAGATTGACAGACTACTTCCCATAATTCTTTTAACATGCATTTTCTATGTCGTCAACAGTTTGCAGATTGACATTCTTTACAGTAGCATAACTGCCAGTAGCACTTAAGGCTCCATACTTAAAAACACACTTTACAACTGATGTGTAATGCTGCCAAAAATTACATAAACACAAATATTTCACCAAGAAAATTCATGTTCTATTGCTTAAATCTACAATTTTAAGGAATGTTTGTTTGTATATCTAGAACTACTAAAGATCTGCTCCACAGTGGTTGTGGTCACTTGATATCCTTTGTGCTGATGCAATTTTTTAAAAGTTTGGTTAAAACAGACTTGCATTGGGGTCACATTGTACCCTAGGAGTACAAATTGCATGACAAATGGGAACGTAATTCCAAGTAGTCATATTTTTGGGGACAGTGGAGCATGGATTTTGTACACAAACACAAGCTGCCATTAATTTACTTTATATAATAAATGTATAAAACATTCCAGCGAACGTGCAATATGTAAATACTGTAAATAACAAGCGTAAGTAATAAAGTGTTTGGTATTAAGTTGTTCTCAGTTTGCTTTCTGTTCACTGAATCCAGATAAACAAGCTATCTTCCAGTAGCTACTATCATTTATCCACAATTAAACCTCTTTCCAGTAAGAGTTCACTAGAGTAAGAAAGGAAGGTACACCCACCTCAGAGAAGTCCAGCAATTTGGACTTCATCTCTATGGATTTGTAAGGACGGACAGATCTGTGTGTTCCAGTCCTGTAAAATGCCACGAGCACAAGGCTCCTCCAATTCTCTACAGCATTATAAATTTGGATCTTTTTAATGACAAATGGTTGGTTTGGGTTTTTTGTTTGTTTTTTTTTTAAAAAAAAAAATTCTGCAGTCTGTTCATGATACTGCAAGGCAATATAATCAGAAAATGTCCAATAAATCATTTTAGTATCGTAAAATTTTTAAGGAGTCAGTGAACACTTACTCAAGAAGCCTTGATACACATTTCCTTTTCTTCCTTAAATCAAGTATTAATTGTCATAATAAAATGGCTCAAAGAGGAAGAAAGTTTTTATGTTTGATCTGCAGATGAACCTCACGTACTTTTATCTTAATACAGGCATTTAGCTTCCATTTTATCCTCAATTCAAACCACAAAATGTAAGAACAAACCAAGCACACCCCTCCCCACCCTGAGAAATAGCTAGGAGCTGGGATTGTTGAAATTAACACTTAAGAGCCTTCAGCATCTAGCTCCTTAGAAGAAAAAAGAAAAAAAAAATGGCAGAACTACAAAATCCCATCCTAGAACATGGCTGTATTTAGTAAGGGAGAAGTACATATTTTTTTATTTGCTTTCAGTGATCACTAAATGCTAAAGTTTCATTTCTCAACAGAAACCATGCATACTGAAAAACTAGTAGTTAAGGGAATCTACGGCTGCAGGATTTACTTAGCTGCTTTTCTGCTGTAAACGTGTGGGTGGAACTCTGTGCTTCTTTGTGGTTCCACTGACTGAAATCACATCACAGCGTATTACTTAACCGGATTTAAATTAGTATAAATCTTTCTTTTTGTAGTAAATCCGGTTAAATAAAAACTTTCTAGAAAATTTCCTTGTAAAAGGAAAATAGTAATTTATTTAATTATTTAATAGATGAATAGAAATAAATTAATCCCATGGAAGTTTTCTCTAGATTTAGCGGAAGTCATCATACTTTGACAGAAGATACAACTATACTATAGCAGATTTTAAAAATTTAGTCTTAGGTATAACCTTACGACCTAAACTAAAACAAGCCGCGGTGGGGGAGAGGGGGAAGGAGGAGTCAGTTCTGTATTTTTTCATTCAACATTACATTTTTCATGAGTGGTATTTTAAACCTGTAAGAGCTTAGTGATCTGTATGATACGCAACTGTGTATTAATCCTATGTTCACTTGTTTCTCTTGGAACCCAAATAACGGTACTGTGCAACTGTCCTTCCTGAAGGCTATTCCTGGTTTGTACTCCTGTACTCTACAAATTATTGTAAAATACCATGGTGCTCTCCTTCCCCTCCTCCAAAAGAAACCCATTAAGGATAAAATCAATCAGCTTTTTCCTCCTAGTAGAGCTAGTGAATTATTTAGCCAATAGATTACTTGCTGAAATATACCTCAAGGCTGAAACTTTTAAAATCTGAAATGAATTTAACACAAATAGTTTTGACTTAGTATCACTTTACAGGAAGACTGCTAAGCCTAGTGAAGGTAAACAACCATACCCTTTTATCTCCTTTCTGTTACCCCAGCAGCTCAAAGAGAAAGATTTAAGACTTTGAAATCTTAACTTTAGTATGTTTGAAACTATAGTTTTACTCAGTCATGAATGGGAAAGCACAAGCCACCATGTTCTCAATCTTCTGAGTTATTTCACTTTCACGGGAATATTTTAAATGGTCATTCTGGCAGAGAATAACATTAGATTACGCCTAAATACTTCCACTTCTGAGGTTAGTGCATAAAACCACATTTAAGATGGTTTGTCCCTAACTGCCCATCATTTTCCCTCATTTATTTTGTGTCAAAGCATTCATAAAAGAAATGGAAAATAATTTTTTTCCCCGAGTCAGTGCTTGATCTCACCTGAAATATTTTATATATATATTACTCTTTGTCCATGAAGTGAAACATCTATTAACTTGCAAATGCCTAGCTTGTTCTTTAAAAGTCAAAACTACTGCTAATGCAGTAATGCAAAAAGAACCTGATTTCTGTATTTAAGTGTTCCACCTACCACTTGCCTTTTTTGTAAGGAGGTTAAGTTTTATGTCTGATTGAAATTTTAACACAAAAGACAAACCTCACTAACACAAACACAGCTGTTCTACAGCAAGAGTCCCAGGAAACTTAATCCCCACTGTGCAGGCTGCAGCACACGCACAGTGACACTAGGATTCCTCCCTCCCCAGGAATAACAGGGTCCTCTATCGAAAAAATGCATCCCTCTGCCTGAAAGGAGAGTGGGTGACAAATACAGAGGCTACTCTACTACTTTGGAAGGCAGACAGAGGCAAAACAAGGCTAAATAAACACGAAAGCAAGGTTTACAGATCCAGTTTTACAGATCACGTGGTAATGCTAGTTCATACCAATCGTTGTATTATTCAAAATAGGGAAGTTATCATGGTATCAGTTACATGACTGATCTCAGCACATTTCTGTTTCTAAGGCAGAAATGAAAGGTGATGTTCAGACAAACAGGCATGGATTTTTACAAAGCATTCAATTTTTGCCCAAGAGCAGAACTTTCCACTTTCTGGTCTTCTGTTAATTTTGTATTATATTACAGATAGACTGTCTTCAGGTTGAACTATACACTCAGAGAACACTTCTGACAGGCTATCCATTCTCCTGAGTAAATCTGAAAATACTGTCTGACACTCACAGGTCAGGAACTGGGATTATAGCAAATTTCTCACTGATTATATTGCATGGATTTGAGTATTTTACTCCTATGAGATACAAAATGTACATTTCACATTTAGGCTTTTAAGCTGACCTGTTCTGTCCTCAACTTAAATGCTATGGTACATGTACTTCTATCAGTGTGCTAGGAATTGACCACAAGACCAAAGGAAGACTAGCCAGAGAAGTCCTATTAATATCAACCACTATTTCTGAACTGAGCTCATCTTAATTAGTATAAAAATGTCCTAGAACAAAAATTATTTCTTCTTTGAATAACTGAGCATTTAAGCAGATTAAAAAAAAACAAAACAAAACAAAACATTTTCGCAGGATCCTGACGACACACACAGAGGTTTTGCTTGCTTAAGCTTTGAAATAGTGCTAAGAAGAATGTCTGTCGGGGGGCAGGCAGTTCTTTTAGTCTAGCAGGCTCAATGTGACACAGCTTCAGTCCAAAGGCTGTCTAATGATACAAGGATGACACGCCTAAGTTATCTTACATGAACTATTATCTCACAGACTCCCAGTGACAGTTTATTTCAATTAACTCACTAAGGGCACAATGCGAAGACCTCAGTTTAGTTAGTATAGCATATAAAGAAGCAAGACGTTACTTTTTCAGTGCTTTTGAGAAAGCACTGGAAGAGTTTACAGATAAATTTATTCCGAATGACATACTTTATTACTACATTGATATGTGACAAAACGGTGGATCATCTAATCCAATTAAAACTTCTCTATATTTTTTAATTACAATGACAGAAAAGCTAAAATATAAAATTAAACTGAAAAAATTTTGAACCTACTGAGGCATAATTTTGCAATTTAAATACATCAATCAAGTAAACCTTACATATTTCAGGAGAAGCTAATTATTTTCTTTCAGAAATAAAATGATGACGCATTAATGAGATTTCTCCAAAAATGCTTTACAGCACCTAACACACTGCTCGTAAACAGTTTCAAAGTCCTTTTCATTCCCCTAGAAAAGAACAGAGGGAAAAGAATGTAAGAATAGCAACACTGGCTCAAACAAAAAAATTTCGCAAACTAGTTGTCAGTAATGGCAAATAACTGACATTAGGGAAGAATGAGAACAGTACAAATACTTGGTGATAGTTTTACATATTTCTCCCTAATTTGAACTATTTGCAGCTCAGGAATTTCCACAGCCAAACACTGCGACTTTGTACTCAACAGTCCTGGATGAACTTTCCTTTACAGATTTCTTCCATTCACTTTTTGAGCTCTTGTCTTTTTTCTTTTTTTTATTATTATTTTAAACATTCACAGTAACCTGTTGAGTTTTGCAGTTTAATGAAGCACTGTGTGGAAAAAAAAACCCCACGTCTTTTTGTTTTGAACCCACTTCCCACTAATGCCATTTAATATTCTCTACTTCCTGGGTAATGAATAGCAATTCCTTCTTCACCTTCTCCGATGATACCAAGATTTTATAGAACCCTACTGCATCTTCATCCACTTCCTAAACAGAAGAATCTTAATCTACTTGGTTGCTCTTGGCTGATATTATTCAACTTCTTAGACCATCTCTGTCCATGTCTTTGTCTCTCTCTTTCCTGATTACATCCTCTTTGCAAGAAGGCTGATCAACCAGGGCTTCACCCAATACTGAAAATATAGGTGCACTGCAGTATTTAAATTTATGTAACTGTTATAAGCATAAAGACATGTTTTCCTTTCCAATCCCAATAATTTATAGTTTTGTTAAGTAATTTTAAAAATAGATGTCTACACTTAGTTTTTTATAACATCGGATTGTATGTCACCTGTCAACTGCAGGATCTGCGAAGATTATATACTATTCATATACAATTTTTAATCAAGCCACCCAAAGAATTTCTTACACATACATAGTATGGATCTTCAATAATAAGTTGTTTCTGCGGATCGTAACTTCCAAGTAGTTCAATTTTGGCCTTGCAGTCTTTAACTTGGTTGCTTTTCCTTTTCAGATCTCTATAAAAGAGAAAACAAAATTTTCCCATGAATTTTTCTTCAGATTTTTTTTGGCATCAGCATGAGATGCTCATGACCATTTCTAGAGAACACAGGAAAATAATACACATCTGGACTCAGTCAATTCTGTGGACTCTCTATGCTGCTGCTTGCTTTCATTTGTTTCTTGTTGTGTGGGGTTTTTTTTAATTGAGTATAGAGGACATATACACAAACTTAATTGAGAGCATAAACAAGCATCAGGCACTTAGACCTAAGGCTTAACAGAACTTTGTAACAGTAAGCTCATCAACTTCATCGTCAAATCAATCATTAGTACTTTCAGCATCCACCTTTAGCTTGTATTGAACAAAAATAATTGAAATTATCCAGATGTTTTTCCAGAAGTGTGAGTAAGCCTCTCCAATCTGTTCAAAACCAGTGTTTTCAATTGGTATGCTGCAAGTTCTCTCAATACTACCTCTAACTCATGTGAAGTCCTACTACATTCAGGTAACAGAAAACGGTAAATCGGTGAGCAAGACGTGTCTTCCCTTTGAAATACTGTAAAATTCCATCAGTTGTCACATCCTCTTTCTTCTACATTGCCTCCCATTGATAAAACATACTAGTTTTGAGACTGTATTTTCCTCATCCTCCTTTGGGCTGTTCACCAGCCCAAATGCAGTTAAAATGTACCTCTCATCATCTTCACATTAAAAGCAGCTCAGTACTGTTATTTTCACAATGCTGAACAGCCAGAACATATTAAACTCTTTTAATATTACACACCTCCATCCCAAATCATCATTTTACCTACCCAGCATGACAAAAAAGCAAAAAAACCCTGTAAATACTTAGTCACAAGCATAATCAGTTTTAAGAAATTAAAATCTAATTAATTAATTAATTCCGGTTAAGAAATTAATTTCAGATAGTTTAGAAATAGTAGTGAGACCACATAACTGTTTTTCCTTGAAGAAAAATCAGGACTTCTCTATCAACTAAGAAGTTATTGCTTGAATTTACAGATTTTCAATAAATTCTCTAGCCTTTTATTATTAAAAAAAAGTCTAAGCATTTCCTTCAAGGCTTTTGGCATACCACTTAATGAACAGGAGAGGGCCAGGTGTCTCTGATACTAAGGAAAAGGGATGTCCCAAATCTTCCTTTTCTGATATGACAGGCACTCCATCAACACCTGGAATCAGCTTGCCCTCCTAGTGCTACGAATAGGCATTCCCAGGGAAAATGGTTGAACTGGGTGCAAGTTTAAAGTGAAACTTAAGTGTAGCAGTAACAATATCACTATTATAGTTGCGATGTTTCTTCTGCTCTACAGCTCATATCACATAAATTGTTAATATAGAAATGAAGTTTCCATTTAAGAATTCAAGTGAAAATAGAAGTAAGCCTAGTCACGTCTTTGCCTGACACGCTGCGATCAAGCCAAGTGTTACACACCCGTCATACATGCAGGCTGTGTAAGGGAGGTCATTCAACACATTCTAGAAAATTCAACATAATTATACATATTTCAGCTAAGTGGTGCTGCTTCTAAAAGTCTTTATGTGCTTTTATTTGGTTTTATTTGGTTTATTTGGTTTTATTTGGGGGTTGTTTTGTTATTGGTTGTGGTGTTTCGGGTTTTCATTTTGTTTTGTTTTTTGTTTTTAAACTAACTTTATAGTGGTCCTTACAAGCACTTTGACACTTGTAGTTTATTAAAGCTCAGCCCCTTAACCCCAATCATCAATATGTACGCAATTAAGCTGAAATTTTGCTAATGATATCCACATTTTCACAGTAGGCAGCTACTTCACATAATCTTTCTAAAGCATAAATTGTCTCAAAGACGCATTTAATTAGAACATGGCTAACAGTAAGAAAGAAGATTTCCCCCAGCTAGCAACCTTACTTATTTCAGAGCTCACTCTATTTCTATTAAAAAAGAAAAAAAACTCTACACCATATTTAATCCCTTCCAAGTTTCCACAGTGTCTTTTAGATCCCATGCAACTAGAAAAACAGATCACTTCAATCAAGACAGTATATCCTCATCCTTAACTATACAGGCATCAGCTGCACATCTGTAGCACAAAGCATACTAAATTAAATGTCCTTAATCCTTGAGTGGCATGTATCACACAAATAAACCATTGAGTTCTAGCTCATTAAACTTATTAGAAGTGAAGAATCCAGCTATTAGGATATCATTCACACACATACATATGGAAACACACCACACCACTCCTCCCCCCCAAAAAACCCAAGACAAGCTAAGCAGTAAAACATGACATCTGTCTTCAAAGTGACTTACAAGACATCACTACAAGTAAGCCACAGGAATTTGTTCCATTTCTTCATACATTACCTTAGATTGCTCTCATCCATACAAAGTATGTAATCAAAGGTCTGGAAATCATCTTTTGTAACCTAGAATTAAAAATAGGTGCTTTAGCCTACAAACTGTGTTTGATTTATAAAAAAGGGGGAAAAAAGTATTTTCAAATTTTGCAGCTCTGATTTATTAAAAGAGACAGGTGGAAAGAATAAAACTGTGTATCTTCAACAACTTTTACAATAACTTTAGGCATTTTAAATGTACACTGCCACGATTATTTATCCATTTCTCCAAGTTTTTCACAAAAAAAACCCAAGTTAGCTATTTTACCAATACTTTTCTCATGCATCAACTTAGAGCATCATTACAAGTGACATTTCTAATGCTTTCCAATTACTGAAACTAAAGCAGGTTTCCAGTTGTGGAAACCATGCAATACAAATGTAGACAAATTACTTTCTTGATAGGAAAACAAAAATGTAGGTAACCTGGAATCAGTTGCAATACTTCCAATCCAGAAATTTGTCACTACAGAGAAAAAGATATCAAGTGAAATTCAGAGCTGAAGTATGATGGTATGAGTTACAATCTCTTAAAAACAAATGCATTCACAATATTTTAGGCCATGCTATGATGTGAAAAAATCTGGGATCTATTGTACATCTTCCTACCATCATACCATCTGTTCTTTTTCTTTCCTGCAGGTTACTGACTCCTAAACATGAGATCCGAGTTCACAGTCAGGTAGGCAAACATTGCAGATAAACCACTAACTTAAGTACTACTGTTATCTGTATTGGAATAAGGATGGCTACAGATTTTTACCAGTATAATTGTATTTTAGTTTACATTTAAGCCTTAGCTCAGAGCAGAATCTTCCCAGATCATGCCCACAATGCACAGTATACTAGTATAAGATATCTGAACTAAGTGTCCATAATGAGGATGAATAAAATCTATAGTGAGTTCACATTAAGACTGTATTTCACACACAGTCCTACGTGTAGCATCATAAGCAAGAAACTTGGAAGTTTGTTCAGTACAGGTTTTTCTTGCAGGCTTCTCTGGGAAGGATGGGCTAGAGAAGTGACAAAGCAAGTGAACAGACAAAAAGGCAAAACACATTATAAGTCAGAGTTTTAACTTCTAAAAATTATTTACATATTTAAAGTTTTAGATGGCAAAACACCCACTTATTTTTTGTGCAAACAGCAAATAGATACTGATTAATCTCCCATAACAGGGAGTAAGAAAAGACGTACAGAAATTATCACCAGACTAAAACCATAAATGAAACATTCCACACAAGGAGAACTGAAGGGGTGATGTGTGGGAAGGGAGCATTTGAAAAGAAAGGGTTAATGGTGGAAACTAATGCAGACTTGTTTATTCTCAGTGTAAAAATATTTGCTGTATTCATGTAGTGCCTTTGACCTACAAAAATATTTTTGCAGTGGAAATAGCTCTGTTTTCCTGGCAACTCTAAGCAGTACTTCTACAAGCTGCTTCTGATTGCACTGCACAGCTAAACACTGGCCCCTATGAAAATACGTGGGCATAGATTTCTTCCTAGTACAGACCTATGTAAGAATAAAATAAAAAACAAGTGAAAAGGAAAAACACACCTGCTACGCTTCCCACACTCTCTGTATACTTGAGAACTTGACAGGTATTACCCTATGAACCAGCACTAATACAGTTGCAAATGCAGCTCTAAAAACAAGGTTACTGGTTGGCTTGTCCTCTTAAGCCCTACAGTAGTATCAGATACAAAAAGTTTAATTGAGCAAACTGCAGTGAACTGAAGATATTCCTCAAAACTATGAAAACTGGTATTTTGGGGGAAGAAATTGAGGACATAAAAATTTAGGTACATTTTGAGAAGAGCACTGGAGAGCTCAAGTAGTCAACTTTGGATGGAACCACACAGACAACAGTAACTTCACATTAAAAACATGCACATAACAATTATTAAAGACCATCAATGGAGGAATATACCATCGTTCCTATTCATTTGTTAAACACTTCCCTTTGTTTACAGAAGGGAAATCTCCTTCTCTCTGTCTTAGCAACCAAAGAGAGGCAGAAGTTCTCAAATTTATCCAGTTGTGAAACAGTGTTTAATACAACCTTCCTCTAATCTCAATTTCATATTTAAGGCAAGTGCACGTTATGAGTCATACAGAAATCAATTTTGGCCTCAGCATGAATAAAAGTGAAACTGATTAATACCTATCTGTTTTGCCCATGAAAACTAACAGCTTAGAGAATTTCAACAGGTGCATAAACATACAGCAACCTACCACCAACTAAAATTGGAACAAACTCTTTGGTTTTTATATAAATATATACATTTATTTTTATAATTCACTTTTGACTTAAAATTCACTTAAACAATCACTGTATATGATGCTAGGATGTAACCAATTTAACATTCTCTCTTACATAAATCATTCTTGTAGCATTTATGTCAGTTTTGAATAAAAAAAGATACAACCCATGATTATCATAATTATGCACAAAATTACATGAAAGAAAGTGCTTTTCACTGGGTGGGTAACAGTTTTCCACAGGAGTGAAGATGGTAATTGCATGAGGTACTCATCTTATGACAGTATTTCGAAGGCAACAGAAGATAAATCCCTCCTCTCTATTTCTGCAGCTTCTGTATTAAATCTTTCTTAATCTGTTCTGAAACAAGTCACACACAAAATTCTATCCTTGAGTTTCTCTCTAATAGTGAAACAAATACTTGTACTAACCTGACCGCTCTGAAAAGTCCTATTCTACACCGTTGAGTCCCACTCTTTCTAGAAGTACTGCAAGACCTTATCAGGTCCACACTTTGGGAGAACCAGCAGAGATTATTTGACAGAAGTTTGAAATTGGAGTTACATCGTTAACATCAGTGCAAAATGAACAGTTACCTGTAGTTCAGGGATTTGAAAACTTTCTTTATAAATGAAACTGCTTGTACTGGGATGTTTTAGATAAATTTTCATCCTGTTAGTCTTTTATTTTATTGTCTCATTCTCGTTAATTTTCTCTCCCTGTAATATGTAACATTTAGGCTGTTCTGCTTTAAAAATCTCTTCATTTGCCAGAATGTGTAAGCAAATGTCTTCATGAAAGTGTTTTTACTCCCTTTCTGCCAAAGGAGGATATATAGATTTGTTTCAAGGCAGAGGATCAACTAGTTTTAGATGCTTTGCTTTAGTTTAACCACTCATAAACCACTCCAGTAATACCTAAGAACAGTTCTCAAGTTTCCAAGGCTTATCTTTTAAGAATACAAACATATTACACTACTGTGACCGAAACACTGACTGATTAGCTTCAGTACCATTTAGCTTGCATAATGATAAATAATGCTGTTTATAAGACTGATACATAGTAAATCCAGAACTTCTAACAGGGAAGGATTACAATAGACTTTTTCTAGTAATTATTCTAATAGCAAAACGTTGAAAATCTGAAACGAAGTTGTGCTCAATCCTGTTTGTCTTATATAAGAGATTAGCATCAGGAGAGGTCAGCAGAGGGCAACTGACTAATTGAGAGAATTTATTTCAAAAAGTTAAAAAACTAAACATGTAGTCTTTGAAAGTGAAGAAAGTAAATATGACCTCAGTAAGGTCTAGTAAAATTCTGAAGGGAACAGAAATGGAAGATAATAACAAGACTACTTGATCTTTTTGTCAGTACAAGAACTAGTGGTATAAACTCAAGCTAAGTAAAGGTCAGGTCCTAGAGGAATATCTTATATCCAGAGAATAGTTAACTGAAGTAAGTTATGTGCATTTATTTGAGCATCTGAATGATTTAAATAGATGCAGACATATTTATTTCTGATCTGTCTGGAAGGCAGCATGGAAATACACATTCTTTTGTTAATGAAAACTGAGACGAGTTTTAGTAAAACTTACAAGTGACAAACCTGTCTTTGACTTAAGAATGCTTCAAGGGTATGTTTTCCTCTGAAGTTACCACCAACTGTGCTACCTACTAATCTTGGGTTTGAGTGCCTGCGTTCTAATTTAGCACTCTAGATTTTTTTTAAAAGACCTTCATGCAAGAGCAAAAGCTTTTTGTGATGAGTGAAAGGGTATTCTACTTCTTTCTGGACCTGCTAAATAAAAATACAATTCTTTCCCGGAAGAAGCATCACAGATGACTAGAGTAAGTCCATTTTTAAAAAGTATTTAAAAAATGTTTCAGAAAAATGCCCAAAATACTACACATTTGAAGGTAGGATCTTTCTATAATGCTTCCTAGTTATACTTCCAATGAAGCTTAGTAACATGCAACTCACTAACCTCAACTAGAAGAGTTAAGCCACTTTGGAGCCCTTTGAAAAGCTGCACACAGTATTTATTACTTGATGCTTAACCATGCATTGGTCAAATGACTTCTGTGATTGTAATGACTGGGGCTAAACAAAGCATGGGTATGAACAAGAAAGAAAATATACTCTCTTCTACCTGCCGTGCTTTATGTGCTGTCTCAATGCCATGATTTCTTAGACATTTTAAAGCCCTTGCATCTGGGGAGCGCCCCACGTTCCAGTCTGAAACAGCAGCACTGTCTGTCATCCACTGTAACAACAAAACAAATACATACACATATTTAAAGAAAATTAAAGTACGGTACCTGCCTGGCAATATGATTCATGGTAATGCCATGCTTCTTCATGCAAGTCTGTCCTCGATAGTCAGGAGGGCTTCCTATTTCATAGGTAGATGTCGCTGCACTGTCTATCCTCCACTACAGAAAAACAAATTTACATTTTTATGTTTCCTTTCTCACTCCTTGTATTTCTACTAACTGGCTACCAGACAGTTATTTCTTAGGCAGGAACAGAAATAAATAGCTTACCTTATTTTCAATTTTTTCATCAGTTACAAGTTTTCTAAAAACTGCTTCAGCTATTGGAGAGCGACAAATGTTTCCTATAGAAACAGGAGATTAAAGTGAAATTCCAGATGATTAAAAACAAAAAAACCCACAATAATTCTGTGAATTTATCAGCACAGATCAGACTAAAGATTTCTATTTACTCAGGTAAAATGCAGATTGCTTATGTTACTATAACTGAAGAGATTCTGCAAGGGTGGAAACACAGAGTCCCATACCTGGCTTGAGGCAATTTCCAGTATCAATAAAGACTGCAGGATGAAGGGATTGAGAGAAGCCTGGCGAGGAGGACTTGGGAATACCAGTGGGTGAAAAACTGGATATGACCCAGCAATGTGCGCTCACAGCCCAGAAAGCCAACCGTACCCTGGGCTGCATCCCAAGCAGCGTGACCAGCACGTTGAGGGAGGGGATTCTGCCCCTCTGCTCCACTCTGGTGAGACCCCCCTGCAGTGCTGCCTTCAGCTCTGGGGTCCTCAGCACAGGAAGGGCATGGACCTGTTGGAGCGAGTCCAGAGAAGGGACACAAAGATGATCTGAGGGCTGGGGCACCTCTGAGTGAGAAATGAGTTGTGCAGCCCGGAGAAGAAGGACTGGGGAGATCTTATTGTGGCCTTTCTATATATTAAGCTGTAGAGATAGGACAAGGAGCAACGGTTTTAAACTGAAAAAGGGTAGATTTACATTGGGCAGAAGGAAGAAATTTTTTTACGATGAGGGTGGTGAGGCAGTGGCAGAGGTTGCCCGGAGAAGTTGTAGATGCCCCATCCCTGGAAGTGTTCAAGGCCAGGCTGGATCGGACTTTGAGCAACCTGGTCAAGTGAAAGATGTCCCTGCCCATGGCAGAGGGGGTGGACGAATTACCTCTGAAGGTCCCTTCCTACTCAAATCTTTCTATGATTCTATACTATCCATCAACCTCTTGAAATGCGGTATTATATGAAAAGATATCTTATTCAAATAAATAGAAGGAACATTGTGTAAGCACATTGCTCTTTTCTCCTCCACAAAGTATCCATGTCCACAGAAGACCAGGCAAAATTACGGAATTTAAATGGCAGCAAATCATCTTTACCTTCAAATCTTCCTATACACTGGCAAATTTCAACTAATGCTTTACTGGAGAATCATGACTATTTGCCTGAAGCATTTGCATTACTACCTACCTGTTAACAAAAATTTTTGGACAATTCCAAAATACAGCCACCACCACTGTGGAACTAACGTAGTGGAATGGCTGAACAACCTGTAGCAGAAATGCTCTTGATCACCAAAGTGAAGTCACTGCAGGTTAAACTGAACCCTCGTCAAGAGCAGCTTCCTGATACCAATTCCAACCCCCCTAAAAAGAAATCAACTACACAAGCTCTAAAAATATCTCAGGAAAATAAATATTCCGAATTTTTTTTTTTTTATCCAAAATATGGAGGATTAGGAACAAAACATAACTGATGCAAAGCTGAAGTGCTGTCAATCAACCAGCAAACAGTTAAGGTACTTAATTATATAAATACGTAATCAGTCTTCCCTTCCAATGGCCTCCAGTTGCACTAGGCACTTGATCTGACCTTACTTTCAGCAAGAAAGTATTTCAACAATGAAACAGTGCCCCCTTAAAAAACAGAAATAATGGATCTACAGCATTTTTGCTCTACTGCTAAAGCTGTGACTAAGTTAACCATCTAAAGTAGACCTCTCAAATATGCATGCAAAAATACACATTCTTTGAAAAAGAATGACATGTCTCAACAATAATAAAAATTCTATTCAACTATGACTTTAACTCTTTCTACCTTTTATCCTTCAGAAATTCCAAGTAACTAGATGGATATTCGTAATATTTGATATGTCACCCAGATGCACAATAAATCATACAAACAATCTTCACTTTCTGTCAAAGAGAATGTATGACTTTGTTCATCTCTGACTTTTGAGTAGGTAAGTATAAAATATCACAAATGGCAACACTCATGTCTATACCTTTGAATAAATCACTCTTCTACTACTGATTAAATTCTTTCTAAACCTCAAACAGTAAAAAAAATGAAATGCCCATGAACAAAGCTAAATTTCCATCAGCAAAAAGAAATATTCAGATCAGGCACTTAGCCTCATTTTCATGCCCATGTTTTCAAACAAAATATCAAAGGCAGATACTTCACTGCTAAAGAGAAAGAAGCTGCTATGATCTGGGCATTTCATAACTTGCTGTCAATCATGCCAACTATAAAAAAAGGCAAAGTGGGAAGTGAACCACTGAAGTAATACAAATTTGCTGTCAAAGTTTTAGAGAACATCAAATCACTAAATGGGCAAAAGGAACTGGCTGACCATTGAGAAACTGATCTTGCTGAAACATTAAGTGAATTTTGATGGCAGTAGATCTTCTTTCGGGAGAAAGCATACTATTTCCCTTGTTTGAACTAGTTTATTCCAAGTAGAGAAACTAAATTGTTCTTGGAAGAAAAATAAAGCGGGAAAAAGATGGTTTTATTTACAAAGTGAGAAAACAGGTTAGTACTTATTAATTATAAAAATGTTAAAGAATATGGTAATATAAAAAATAAATCTCACTTCTTCAATTGAGCAAGCGAGTTAAGCATTAAACAATTTTAACAGGAAACAGAGGGAACATGGTAACATACAGCATAAGACAGAAAAGAATCTTCATAATCAACGAGCCCAGTCTCTTAATATTGCAGGTATATACAGCACCACTTCTCTTAGAAACACATCAAGCTCCCTTTAAAAAAGCATCATCTATCTTAAAAGGCTATTCCAGATACTCATTTCCTGTGGTAGCCTGAAATCTTCCAACTCCCGCTTAATATTTACTATTGGAAGTCTATGCTCATCAGACCTTGGTTAACATCACTCTCCATCTTAAAAACCTTTCTGTCCATCAAGGGATACAGAACCATTGTCAAGCATAGCTGGGCTAAACTAAACAAACCAAGCTCTCAGTCTCCTCCTGAAATTAACTGACTCTTATCTAATCACTCCAGGTAAGCCAACTCTGCACTTACTTAATTTGAATTTATTTTTCTTGAACATTGACAAATAAAACCACAGACTGCAGGAAAAGTTTTCACCAATTTGTTTCATAAAAGAAAAAAAAAAGTATGAAATATTTACTTAGCTGTTCTGAAAATTCTGAAAATAACCTAAGATAACTTCTACAATCACATTTGACTCCTCACGAATATCAAATTTGTAATCATAATCCCCTACTTCGAATTCGTCCATTCCCTCTGTTTCTCTGTTGCTTCAAACAGGTGACCTTTAAGTCTTCTTTCTAAACCATGAAATTCTCTTTCCATTACACCAGTGAAGCCATTCACTTCTTCCTGTACAATATTTTTCCTCTGTATGAATGATGCCATGCAACTGTGCATGAACAGTAAATGTCATTATTACGCTCAAAATTTCAGTAGTAAACAATGATCAATACTATTGGTCCTACTATTTCATTAACTAGCTCCCACAATTTCAAAGTGGTACTTTTGAAATAAAACCTTCATTTTTTTTTCTATTTGTTTAACCTTCTGTTTTACCCAGCTTGAATGACTTGTTCCAAATTTTCACTCTTCTATAACCTGCTCACTACTTAAAATGCCATAAATATAATTTTTGATGATACCATACCAAATATCATCATGAATGGCACCATGATCACTGACTAATTAAACATATTACCTACTACTCCTAGCAATAACTAGAAACTGCAGCTATAATATTTTTGAAACAAACACATAACCTAGTCTGTGACTTAAAAATTAATGTTTTCCATCTTGACCTATTCCAGATATTACCGGAGATATTAACGCTATCACGGAACTGTAATCACCATTCAAATCTATTCTGGGGGACTATGGACAGAATCCCAGAACTGACTTAAGAGAAGCTCTTTTTTTCCACATACTCGGCAATATTATTTTAATCCTAACTCTGTTTATCCGTGCTACTCCTTGCAACTGTTATCGCTCATCTTTTCATTAATGTAAAGCCTTATCTTATCTCACTGGCATATGCAAACTTCAATCCTTGTTTTCCAGTCATCGTCTCTTTCCCACTATAATTTCTATCCATTTCATATCCAGTTTTATAGCCCACATCTGTCTTTCCAGGCTTTGCTAAGGTTCCTCACAAATGCACAGTATTTCCTAAGTCATGGACTGACAGCCAGAGTTAGGGAATGAAGGGAGAAATCCCACAAAAAGATTCATAGGGAGATTACCTCCTCTGTGGACTTGGACTGTGTTTTCCTTAAATGTTATCTACACCTTATCTTTGCTACCTGCCCTCTTCTGGTGTTCCTTTCTCCTTTGTTGTATTTCTGACTGATCTGATCAAACACTTTTTATGTAAAGATAACAGTATTAAAGTTCTCTGAATCTCCATCTTCTCCCTTCAGTTTTTAAATTCCAACCTCTTTAAGTTGTAGTGACATTTTCAATCGTAGAAAACTAGTACCCAAGGTACCCAGACAGAGTCTGCCCACTGAAAGAAATCCTACAAACAGCTCCAAATATGATGATTCATGGATAAGAGACTTAAATTTCAATCACAGAATCAGTACTGGAACCATTTGTTGATCACTTTTAGAGAGTCATGCTTTCTCACTCATTTTCTTGGAACAAGGACTCCACTGATGGTTATCCAAGCCAATGTTTAATTTTTTTGAGTTCCTACTCCAGTCTCTGCATTTATCTTTGACCCATTCCCATACAGAAATGGTAGTCTTGCTTCTACTGACAGGAAAGACAACTTGAATTTATTTCATACTCAGGTCCATAGCTCATCTCTTGGTACTCATTTTTGTATCTTCATTGTTCCTTATTCAGCGCTCTCATTCTTTCAGACCTTCCCCAAATGCAAACCAATGCTTTTCCCTTCTTCCTTTATTTTTTTGTCTGCTGTTTGTAACAGAGGTTTTACTAGCTCTCATACTCTCACATTTAAAAACCTGCTTTTAACTCTATTTATCTTTCCATGCACGGTCAGTTCATCTGAGTGACCGTAACAGTGCTTCCCAGTATCATTCG